TCAAACTGCCATCTACCTTGAGAAGATTGATATCTTCTTTTGTTTGCTCTGTAGGTAACTTGTAATATAAATAGACACATCTACTATGACTACTAGACTAAGGTCATTAATTGGTTAATGCTCATCAGTAGATCTTTTTGTGATTTGTATTGTTTCTTCTCTTCTTTTTTTGTCTGCTTCATATGTTCTATTCTCGACTTCTGCATTGCATCCTCTGATTCATTCCATTGGCTTTTATCTTCTGCAGATCGCAAGGGAACTTGGCTCTAAAGGGAGGGATAGACACACGCTGATCAGGCCAATATAAACTCTTCAATCTATCACTATATAGACCTTATCACATTCAATGTCTGCAGAGTTCATCTTGGAAACTATAGAGTTAGAAATCCGTAAAGCTTCCTTCAAGGATTTTTTAAAATATATTTTTACCATAGAAATGTCTTAGTATTACAAATTTGAACACTTTTGAGCATTACGCACCACGACAAACTAATGAAGATCACAATGGTTGATATAACCTTGAAGAACATTGTTCCTGGTTGTGCTTATATTGAAGGCTCAGGTGAGTCACTTCGTATAAAGTTAAGACTTCAAATGAAAACCCTTCTGCATTCAAACATTTCAGAACAAAGCCAAGTCTTAGATTCATCACATAAGTTGCATGAAAGTTTTCCTTGAGAGAAGCGGTTTATAGTCAATACAATCTAAGGCAAAAAAAAAGTACAAAAATACAAAAACAACGTGAAACGCTACTTGCTAGACAACACAGATCAATCACTAATCCTTTTACAAATGACAAATGCACAACAAATCTCGACTCTTCTACAATTCTGTTTACCAAAGATGTCTCCTCCAACGTGGTCAGTCTCTTCCTCAGAGTGAGTTACTTAGTGTAACCGCTGCTTCACTCGTCTCCCATTCACGTCACCACCATCAGCATATAACTCCTTCCTCAGCCCCGTTGATGTTAAAGAATGCTCACTCAGCCTAGCCACATACTCCAGCAGCTCACTTAGTAAGCCCGGGCAGCTCTCCTTCAGATATTCAAACCCATCCGTTTCCATCACAGCTAAAGATATTACAAACAAAAGGGCATTTTCAGATTTCAACAATGATTTGATTAAAGTGATTCATCATTCAAGTAAACAGGAATTATCTTCTTTTTTTTTTATATACCTTTCAGGTTTTGTGGTAAAGCTATGAATTTGAGACAAGCAGCTTTTAGCTGGAAACAATGATGCTGCTCTGCCAATGCCAAGGTGGTCGCAACTGTGTTTATGCTGATTCCTTCACAGAGATTTGACTCACAGATTGTTCTAAGCCGCTCAAGAGCATAACGATCTGCAGCTGCAAGCAGATGCTGCGCCACAAGAGTCGATGCACATTTCAAGTCTGTGCCCATTATGTCTTCCATATCAGGCAACTCGTCCCAGTAGATAAAATGTAGGAACATCTGCAAAACAAACCACAATATAAAAAATGGAAAAGTAAATGGGATTTTGTATCAGCACACACTTCAAACCCTAAATCTTCAGGATTCAGTATCTAAAACTCATATATACTAAACACCAATCGTAACAAACAAAATCTGAGATACAAAGAAGAAGAACCATGCATTCACTGCACACATGAACCTGTAAAGCTACAAACTAAGGCACATTCTAAGGAACAAAGAGAATTAAACCAGAAAAAGAGGTAACTAAAGGACCTTGAAAATAGGAGCTTCCATGTCCTCTATGTCTATGCGTTTGGTATTTTGGTTTTTCAACGGGCCAAAAAGCTGTGCCCTGAAAACTGGAGAACGAGCTGCAAGAACCAACGTGTGAGCAGGAAACGTTTCTCCATCAACTTGGAATGTAACATCAACTCCTTTCCCACTTTCCAAAAGCTTTCCAAACTGATGACCCAAGTCAGAAACCGGCACCGGGATATTGTAACTCCTCGGCCCCTCTGTGTGTGACTTCACTACGCCAACACAGCACCGAACCAAGAGGCAATTGTCCTTGAGATAGTCTGATGACTCCAGAAGAGTCCTCTTGAAAAACCGTTTGTATCCCCTGCGTCAAGAAAACAATCATCAATAAACCAAACAATGTCGGACAAACATAACATGTCCACACATAAATACATCAGTACAAAAAAGAGACAACCTATCATTTCTTGAATTCACATGTCACCATATAGATACATGAGTACACAGTAGAGACCAGCCTAGCATTTATCATAACATGTCACTATATTAACACATTAGTACAAAGTATAGATTAGTGGTCTAGCTTTTCTTTAATCCATTAATAACATGTTACCACATAAACACATCAATACACAGTTAGAGAATACACTAAGCTACCGTTTCTTGAATACACAGTAGAGACTAGCCCTGCATTTCTTGAATCCATTCATAACATGTCACCACATAAACACATTAGTACAAAATTAGAAACTAAACTAAGCCACGGTTTCTTGAATCCACTCACCACATACTCCCTCTGTACTTAAGCGTATAAGGCCCACTCTCAAGAGTCCTACCGAAATGGCTATGAACCTTATGCCTCTCATTACCACTCTGATCCACAAGAGTCAACTCAAACAAAGCCCTAACATCAGCACCTTCGCTCGCCAACGCTATAAACAGCGACACGTACACAGAGTTATCCTCCGGACTCTTCCCATCCGGGTAAAAGTACACCGCCCACGAGTATCCACCAACCATAAACGTATCGGACGCCACGTACTTCCCTATCCCCATCCCTTTCGCGAGAGAGTAGCCGCTGATCTTGAACTCGTGCGAGCCGTTGATGGTCTCCGTGCGAGACGTCGACTCCGTGAGAGAGGTGACGGTTGGTCTTGGTTTCGAAGATCCGGGAACCTCCGAGCAAACCCTAGTCGCGTCCATCGATAAAGGCTGGATCTTTGAGTGTTTTCGTGGAAATTAGGGTTTTGAATTGGAGAGGGGAAAGATCGAGAATTTGAGGGGTATTTTGGGGAATTGGAATGAGGGAGTGAGGATCGGTGGTGGTTCGGAGGTGAATCGTCGTGGATCGTGGAGACGACGACGACGGTGGGGTGAAACGAGAGGAAGAGAGGAGATGGGAGAAAGGGAAGAGTTTGATTTATCGGTTAACTTTACCCACTGCGTTTGGTTGGTAACGAATATAAATGCAAGTCGGAGAAAATATAATATTAGTAATAAATTACATGCTAATTCTATTTTGTTTGGGAAATAAGAGGGAAACAATAAGTTTAAGCAGGGGATTATTTTTTAAACAAGTTATTTATAGGGCCATTTGTGTAAGGAAAATATATTTTAAACTACTCGATTTGTGGGGATCGTGAGTCGACTAGATGAATTAAGAATTTATTGGTGTTTTTAATATAATTTTAGAAATTATCTAAAAGAATATTTAATAATTATGTGAACTAGTAAATAGAGAATAATTTTTGAAATAAACTGATATACTACAAATAATAGTGTCTAACATGGATTTTCATAAAATAGGGTACTATTATCGACTGTAATGTGAAGTTTTGTTACTATTTGAGGATGAATAGAGAACCATTCTACAAAGCCTTCAGATGATTACGTTTGTCTACATGATCTGAAATCTTGTGGTTATTGCCGCAATGTCAATGTCAATGCCTATTTGTTTACTTTCACAGCTTATTTGTCTTCTCTGGATATTCTTACCTCCAAAATTGTTTGAATATATTGTATCAATGGGAGTATCTTCCCAAGAACTAGAAGAGCTTGTGATACTCTGATGTGTTTGCAGGGAGGTCAGAATGTCTGACATATTTTGTTAAATGCATATCATGTAAGGTTTTCATGATGGTTTATTGCAGACTTCATTGCCTGTCGCTGTTTACATTTGCAGTTTCATCACAGACCGTATTAGTATGTACATTTCATTCTAAGGGAAATGATAATTCAGGTAAATCATCAGTGTTTATGAGTCATACTTTTGATTTAATCAGGCATATCTTACACTTTACATGGATAGATTCTGTTATTTATCATCCTCACAATTTGATTAATCATGTTACTTAATATATGGATAATTCCACTATAATATGAACAATTTTTCTTACAATAACATATACTTCCTATATGTTTTTTTGAATATATGTGAAACTAGTATTGAATGCTATGGCATAATTTCAAGGTTATGTATGATTTTGATTCCTCAAGTGCTGACTTCTTAGCTCAAGCCTCAGGACACCATCTAACTTAGTCTTATGTTTTTCCTCCTCGTGGTTTACTCTTTGCACACTTTTTTTGTTTGTAAATAATTCTTTGCACACTTGATTATAGCTTACCACCATTTCCTTTAGTTTTCCAATAGGGAAATAAAAATACAAAATTCTATTTGTGAAACCTACCTAAAGTTATCTTGAGTAAAAATAATTTGAAGAATCAATTTCAGAAAACAAATCCCAAATAAAATAGACAGTCTTATTAAGCTAAACTGTATTTAAATAGAGCAATACTAATCTAAGACGTAAAAAACAAAAGTTTTCTTATATTATCGTATCTAAAATTGATAGTTATACCACCAGATCAACTGCTTATTCTTCTATCCGATAATTATAACACCTTTGCTTTGATTTAGCCAAAATATCTGAATTGGATTTGTCATTGGAAAATTACTATTTTATGTTATTTTATTTTTGGAAGCAATTGATTTGTTCTCTTATTTATGATCTTTCGATAGATCAATCACCCAAAAAAAAACGATTTATCACCCCTGTTGGAGCAGCGGTGGCAGGGGCAAACGATCAAAACAAAACCAAGGCATAATCGTCTAACGCCAACGCCTCTAACGCCCATACTGACGCGACTTCAGAAAACGCTGTGTTTACTTGCACACGTGTCGTTGTGCAGTTACTCAGCGCGCTAATTCTAACTGAACAATAGGGGCATAATCGTCTAGACATAAGCTTGCCTTTAAAAGGCCTTTTCTGGTTTTGTCATATTTTCTGGTTTTGGTCGGATTTTCAAAATGCCGGAGAAAGGACCAATTCTATCTCCGACACCAAACCAGTTATTACTTCAACGGTCGAGTCCTCTCTTTCAATGGCGTTTCGGTGCTCTTACAGCACTCGTCTTCTCCCTCATGGTATTCGTCTGGAGCATCGACGGTTTCTCGATACAAACCTTCGCTGAGCCATGGAGGCTCAGCGCATACTCCATCCGCGTCAGTTTCTCTCCCTCTCCATCTCCTTCACCATCATCACCCATACCTCCTCTTATAGAATCCGAAAAGCCCACTACAGGCCCACGAAATCTAAATGCGAAGAAGAAGACGAATCTCACTTCGAACTCAAACTCAAACTCAAACTCAACCCGGTGGATCACCGCCGAACCGGAGAAGAATTACACGGAGAATCTAATTAAAAACTGGTTAGCTCCAGGAGGAGAACCGTGCAGGGAAGCGAAAACCGTCGAGATTTCACTTCCCGGCGTCGACGGGATCGACACGGTGGAGCTAACCGCCGGAGAGATACACGAATTCAAATTCCAAGCCTTGGACGAATCTAAAAACAATGTTTGCATCGGTGGTGACTACTTCGAGACGGATTTAACCGGCCAGAATTGGAAATCTCGGCCTCCGGTGAGAGACTTCGGCAACGGAACTTACTCGATGTCGTTACAAGTTCACCCCGAGTTCGCCGGAGAGTTCAACCTCACGGTTATTCTCCTCTTCCGTCATTACCAAGGCCTTAAGCTCAGCCCCGCGCGACTAGCCGTCGACCAAAAGCTCCGGAGTGTCCGGTTACGCTTCGTGGAGAAGCCTGGCGTTGCTTTGCCGGAGCTAAGGACATGTATAAGATCCGACTTTGGACGAGATGCGTGGTCGGGACGATGGACGAGGCTCGGTAAGAACGAGGGTTGTGAGATCAGCAACGACGGGCGTTACCGTTGCCTTCCCGCGGATTTCCCTTGTCGGAAACCGTGGTGCGAGGGAGCTCTTGGAGCTATAGAGAGTAATGGTTGGGTTTACTCAAGCCATTGCTCTTTCAAGATGTTCTCTGGAGATGATGCGTGGGACTGTTTGAAGAACAAATGGATCTTCTTCTGGGGGGACTCGAACCACGTGGATTCGATTAGAAACATGTTGAACTTTGTTCTAGGTCATCCGGAGATCCCCGCTGTACCGAGGAGGTTCGATATGAAGTTCTCTAACCCGAAGAATGAATCCGAGACGGTTAGGATCACGAGTATCTTCAACGGTCACTGGAACGATACACAGAACTATCAAGGCCTTGATTCGCTTAGAGACAACGGCTTTAGAGAGTTGCTCAAGAAGTACTTCTCGGAGGACCGTGTTCCAGATGCTATGGTCGTGAACTCTGGCTTACACGATGGGATTCACTGGACCAGTCCTAGAGCGTTTGAGAAAGGAGCTGAAGCCGCAGCTGCGTTTTGGAAGGGAGTTTTCGACGGGGTCAGAAGCAGGGGTTTGCAGCCTCCTGAAGTGGTTTTTAGGAACACGGTAGCGACGGGCGGTTACGCGAGAATGTTACCGTTTAACCCGAGTAAAATGGAGGCGTTTAATGGAATGTTTCTTGAGAAGATGAGGGATGCGGGGTTGGTGACAAGCGTGGTGGATAACTTTGATATGACGTATCCTTGGCATTTTGATAATAGGTGTAATGATGGAGTTCATTACGGAAGAGCTCCGGCGAAAATGCTGTGGAGGGACGGTGAGATTGGACATCAGTACTTTGTGGATTTGATGCTTGTTCATGTGTTGCTGAATGCGTTGTGTGTGAGATAGTGATGGTTTTTGAAGTTTGGTTTAGGAGTCATGGATTCTTTATTCATGTGTAGAGGTTTTGGTTTGTTTTTGGGGAGTATAGAACAAATTATTATTTGGGAAAACTCAAACTAAAGCTTGAGTTTATATTTGTATAATGTATACTAGCGAGAGATTGGAGCAACAAATGTGTACTAAAACATTTTTCTGATAATAAGAATTTTGATTTTCTTGCTTTAAACTGACTTTTTTGAGAGTAGCTTGTCACTGTTTCATTACTCTGTTGTTGTTTCTTTTACATGAATTGGACTTGGAAGTAGAACTTCTAGGAAGGATTTTAAGCGTTACCAAGTGACAAATTATCTGTAGGTTGGTAATTTATTTCAATTGTAAGTATTGGGAGAAAAAAAAAACTTCAAATATGTCTTAGCTTATGTTTTTTGGGCAACAAAATATATCTTAGCTAAATATAAGGAATACACCGTTTCAGTCAGTTGCGTCGAAACTGATTTGATCAAGGTTTAATCTAAAGTGCTGATTGAGCCTACAGAACATAGAATTCTGTAGATTTTTGGCGCTCCTCTTGTCTCTCTTTTCTTCACACATTTCTCGATGATCAATAGTGTGTTGTTTTTTTCTTCATTGGAGAAAGGCAAAAAGACCCAGTGTGGTGCTTTGATGGCAAGCAAAATAATGACATTCCTAACAAGAGAAAAATCTTCATTTAATTTGTTATTGTTTGGTCGCAAGGTTGCAAGTTAAAGCTGATCAATATGATAAATTATATTTACTGACAGTTAAAAAGTTGAGATATTGCAGTTCATATACACAGATAACTGCTATATTTGCAGAAAGGAAAAACACACTTTTTTGCTTACGTGTTTTTTCTTAATAGCAATTCTACCCCTATATGCTATATTAAACATATATTAAATCTATATTATGTCTTTCATCTTTCCTTTGTTTTCTCCGCAATTTCATTCCTCAATCTCTCTTCTATGATTTAACAGTCAAAATCATGGTTTCCAAAAATCTTTAATAATTTGTTCTTTTATTGGGTCCGACGAAGAAACACCGCAATATATCTCTTTCAATCTCAATCGCCTCGACTTTCCGGCGGAACCCTTAACGCCTTTTACTGTTCACTCTCATTGACTCTACGGTAAAATCCTTATCGCTTGATTCTGTTCACTCTCCAGTGGAACCCGTATCCCTATTTCATCTGTAAATTTTTACTCTGTTTTTTATTTTTAAATAATTCTCAACATTAATGCTCATGCACGTTTCATATTTGTTCGAGCTCAGGTCTTTATTCGGTTAAGCTAGTGCACACAAGGACATTGGATGCCACTAAAAGTGTAAGTCACTTCCTACACTCCTCGCTCTTTCGTTTGATTTCCACCACAAACGAATAGCTGGACATTGACTTCATTATACTTATACTCTATACAATAGCCGGCCATCAGAATCAGAACATGTATTATGCTTATTGTAGTCAATCTAGCTGGATAACAACTGAGTTGTACATACAATTTCAAAAATAGCCAGCACGAATGAATATCTTAATGTATATATAATTATTCGCTTCTTTTCAACCGGCTGATCATCCGCTTAAACATGTATTTTTCTAAATATCCGTCTAATAAAAGGCTAACAAATAATGTAGACATGTTCGGGCAAAGCTTCAGAAGCAATGTCTTTCCGAAGTTCAATCGAAGAAGAAGGATGTCGGCCAACTCCCCCAGGAGGTATCGCTCGTCGCACCAGATTCCAATTGGAAAGATATTATTTTTAGCTGTTTTAGGGCGAATTAGCATAATCTCCTTCATTATGCCCGTGTTGTTCGTAATCATGTTAGTCTTGTTTAGCTGGGAACAAATCATCAAAATGTACCAGATATCAACCCTCCTTGTCTGTTATCTCGGTTTGTAGTCACTGTCAAATTACTGGCTAATGTCCTTATTATCTCCTTTGTTTATTTTCTTAGCTGTCTAATGTTTATTTTTATCCGTCTAATGTTACAGATACTTAACACACTGTTATCAAGTTCACTCGTATAACATGTCTCTATATAAGTATATAACTGGAACCAAAATGTTTTATATTATATAAAACAAGATTAGCCGACTATCATAACATGTGTATTTTAAAAAAAAACACCATTATTCTACCAACTGCCTAAAAATAATACAATTATAACTTAGAGATTTCACTAATCTTCGCACAACGAATCATAAGCACATGATTATTCTTCACTAACTTCCTCACATGAATCTTCGAATACGCTTAAAAATAATACTCAGATATCAAGTACTTTGACCACTTATATAACATTTAGACGGATTTATATAAATGTATACAAACAGGAACAACAATATAAATAGTATTATGTATGTATATATTTACTAATGGTTACATGCATGTAATGATTATAAACCGTTTATGTTAAAGAGAAAGGTAGTAGGGTTAGTGTTGTCTTTTCACATGGGTAACAACTGGGCCTCGCTCTTGGGATTCCCAATTTTCCATTGATGCAAATTTTGCCATCTTTCTGAATTTCTGTGCAAATCGCTCTAAAAAGTTTTGTAATGAATAAATCATACATGTTTATAGTACCATTTAACTTTATGTAATTGTTACCCACGGTGATGTCAACGAGAAGTATTAGCTTTTATAGTTCCAAACGTACAATAATGCACTTTCTCAATAAATGAAACTGAAAACGAATCTAAAGGGAAAGATGGTAGCATGAGAAGAGAATCGGACAAAAGCTTCAAGAACTTATGCCATTTTGTGAAGAAGAAGCAGGATAAGAAGAAGAAAAGACATGTCATGCATGTGCAGAGGACACTCATGTGACCAGCATCTATTAGATTAATTAGGCAAATCTTAAAACAATAAAAGTCAATTATTAATCTCAACATGCCACTTTTTAAAAACCCATCAAGTACTTTTTCAATTATACACATTCTTTTGGAACTTTCCAAATGTGTAAAATATTCTTCTTTTATGGTTTAGTTATCTATCAATAATTGGTGAACCATCATGCCAAACAAGAATTAGAGATCCTAACTATTATGTTCTTTTAATTATTTGATCAGATTTAGCTAAAAACGTGATAAATATAAAATTAGGCATGCTTGAATAAATAACTATTAAATAAATGCAAGTATCTTTCACCAAGAAACCATTTCTAGGCCATTTAAATGCTCATTTATGTGAAAAAATGTGAATATCTTAAAGAATTAACCTAAGCCAAAAGAAAAAGAAAGATACGCAAGAGAGTTGTGCTCATGTTATGTATATGCTTTAACAACAACGAGCGATGATGGTAAAATGCGTCTGACGGTCTGAAGAAAAGTATCTGATTTTTTTTTCTTGAAGAAAGAAGGTATCTTTCTCAGATATTACATATATGAATATTTGTATATTCAGTTATGTAATTCTATTGCTGTCCTTGAATGTGTTCACAAAAAAAACTTCTTGGTTGAAGGTGCAAGTACAAGGAGTAATCCTCTCATATTTGGAAATAAAGATAAAGAGAGAGGAAGAGATTTGAGTTTCATCACTAATCCTATCTTTTTCTTACCATCCTATTGAGAGAAAAAAAATGAGTAAAGAAGAGTTCATGAACATCCAGGTTTGTTCACCATTTCCTTGAAATTCATTCTCAATAATATTATTTTCCACAAAGAAATCTTCTCTTGACTTGAAACTGTGAATTTTTATTTATAGAGTTGTGTTCTTAAAGTGAATATACACTGTGAAGGTTGTAAGCTGAAAGTCAAAAAAATCTTGCAGAAAATCGAAGGTAAAGAAAAATAATCAAACTCAAATCCTCTTTTGACTCTTTTTTTCTAAGTCTTGAAACAAAGATTCTTATTTTCAAGTTTGTTGACCAAAAGTCTTGAAACTAATTGTGTTTTGTCTGAAACACTAAAATTCAGGTGTTTTCGCGACCAAGATTGATGCAGACCAAGGGAAAGTGACTGTCTCTGGGAGCGTAGATCCTTCAATTCTCATCGAGAAGCTCACCAAATCTGGAAAACATGCTGAGATATGGGGAGCACCAAAGGGTGACAACAATCATAATCAGTCTCATTTGGCGAATCAGCTGAAAGGAATGCAAATTGACAACGGAAAAGGCGGCGGCGGCAGTAAGAATAATAACAACGATAAAGGCCCCAAGATTGGTGGAGGTAACGATAATCCACAACAGATACAGAAGATGAAAGGGTTTCAAGAACGGATGTTTCCTCCACAGTTAAAGGATTTGAAGGGTTCTGTTCCTGTGGACAAAAACCAAAACCAGAAAGAAAAGTTCAATGTTCGGGAGGAGGATGATTTCAGTGATGCTGATGACGAGTTTACTGATGATGATGACGACGAGTTTGATGCTGATGATGAGTTCGATGCTCTCCCTTCTGATAAAATGAAGCCTAACATGGTGATGCCTAATAATCAACAAATGATGATGAAAGCTCAAAAGAACGCCAATCTTGGCGGTGGTTCCACCAAAAACGGCTGTGGCAAAGGTGAAGCTAACGGCGGTAGAAAAGGTGATTCTGGAGGCGCTGGGAATCAAAACCAAGGCGGAGGCAAGAACGGCGGTCAAAACGCTGGTGGTGAACATCCACAAGGTGGTAAAAATAGCGGTGAAGGCGGTGGTCCAAACACTGCAAAAAAGGTTTACGGCGGAGGTGATGGACCCATGACTGGAAGACTTCCGGCCGGTTTCCTTCCCATGGGAGGTGGAGGACCACCAAACATGAGCATGCCAATCGGTGGTCCAATGGGTGATCCCATGGGAAATATTCTGGCCAGTTTATGTCCCATGGGAGGAGCAAGACCATCAAACATGACTATGCCAATAGGTGGTCTGATGGGAAATATTCCGGCGGTTCATGGATTACCGGCAACCGGTGCAAGCGGTATACCCCCAGGTTATTTCCGAGGGGCAGGGCAAGATCCCATGCAAATGCAGCAGCAGCAACGCCAACAACAACAGTATTTAGAAGTGGTTATGAATCAGGAACGAGCTATGGAAAACGAACGGTTCCAACCAATGATGTACGAAAGGCCACCATTGGCAGTTAACTATATGCCACCGCAAATACACCTGCACCAATATCCGAATCCGTATGATCCATACCCGTATCCATATCCACCTCATGGAAATGATCAATACTCTCATGTCTCTTACGAGGAGAACACATCAAGCTGCGATATTATGTAATCTTTTCACTTTTTATAGAATTATAGTATAAAATTTGGACGCAAGTTAAAATGATGTTGATATTCTCCTTTCATGTGCTTTTTATTTGCTAATCAATAAAATAAATTATGAATATAGGAAACCGATATGAACAAATTCCATAGATACCAAATCATGATTTGTAATGAAGATTCATACTTTTAGTATAATATCTCTTTATACATTAATAATTTTTCTAATTTGACAAAATCGAATAAAAAGGGATACGGGGTATTGATGGAATTGGAGTTGAGTTCCTCGGGCCATTTATATGAAAGATCCTTTTTCTGCTATCTATATGGATATTGTTTTATTTATGATCTAATTTCATTCTCTATATTCATTCAGTCATTAATCCTATAGTCTAGACTACTATCGGAGACTTTAAATCATTCTCAAAATATTTATTTCGTCATTATTCCCATAGCTGCATAATCTGTGATCGAGTTCGGATACAAAAACAAACTAAATAAAACTTAAGCGATAAGGTCGTTACAAGTTACATAGTAGCTAAGTTTATTGGAGCTTATTTATTCGAGTATGCTCATGTAAACCATACATGCTATGACACCAGTACGTGTATACTTTTGGTTTTAGTTGGTAGAGATGATGACTTCAGGCACAAAGCTATTCTGAACTTCAAGGGTTAGATCCTCCAAGCTTAAGTGACACTCTAGTCCTATCTGCATATGTAAATTTAATTATCTTCAGTTAAAATTTAAAGCAAAAACTTTCACATATATTAACGCTATTTGATCCATGTATACACTAAAGCTTATATCATTAATTCTGGATTATATTTTATTGTAAAGAAATATCATTCGAAGTTGAATAATCTTGATGTGGTTACAACTTTATACCCTAAATTCATTCTAATGTCTTAAGTCATATAGTGAGTTTAATTTGTGTTATTCTAGTGATTGGACTAGCTAGCATATATTCAATTTTCTTTTGCAGATGTGAATATATGTACCTTAACAACGAAGAAGTACAAGACAGTCTCCTCCATGCTGCTAATGTTGAGATGAAGAACCTGAAAGGATAGTTTCTCCAAGACGGATATGATCCTCACCAGCTGGCCCTCAATTCTCCTAGAGACAACTCTCAGTACAACGTTAGAGCCTGAGATCTTAGCTTCGACGTTAGCATGAGGGGAGTTGCAACATGCTCCTACTTCCTTGAAAGTGCTTGTGGTCATTACATTTTCGATTCGACTAAACGGCACTCTAGTGGTTGCAGCTGCTAATATGGATGGCTCGAGTGTTTGGTGATCGTAAGGACGGTTTAGTGTCTTTCTACGTTTCTTGGACTCGAGAACCTGTACCAATTGCTGAAGCTCTTTGATGAATTCTACCACTCCTCCGATTATCGAAGCTTGATCTCCCTAATACCGATCAATCATTGAAAACAAGAACATATATATGAAAATATTGGTGCATGAGAGTTATTTTTTTTACATGTTAACAATTAAATATACAAGAGAAACGAAAACAATGAGAATATATACGATCGATGGCACTGGCACAACATATTTTCCCAGATGAGTAAGATCGGAGTATCCATTATTAGAAAGGTTACCATGCATGATTCGTTACGAATCTAAAACCTTTTCTTTCGACAAAAAAGTTTCTTTTGGGTCTTGATAAGAAACTATCCGAGAATGTTTCAATTATCCGAGAAAAAACAAAATTTCTAATGAATCTCAAATTAGACCCTTTGTAATTACTTTACTAGAGAAATCACCGATCATTGGCTCAAGAAAAAATCACCAATTTATTGGATAAAATTAAATGAAATTGAGTATGAAGGGAAAGAAATATAACATGAAAGTTACCCTTTTGATATAGAAACAAGGAGTCAAAGAACGAAGGGATTTAAGATGCTCATTCATTTGCCTTCTTCGGTTCCTCTCAACAGCGATGTGAGACATGATCTTTGATTAATGGTCAAATATATCACTTCTATGGTTCTTATCTATGACAAAGAAGATGATCACTTTTCACTTTTTCTACACATTCTTCAAAACAATGTGGTATTTATACAGCCGCAACAAGAATATAGTTAGGGTTTAGAGTTTTTTTTTCAAGGGTTCATAAATGCACTATGTCGCTATCTCGTGACATTCTTTTGTCTCTTAATAACCTTCTCTCTCTTTCTTATTACTATCAATATGTATAACTACAAAGTAGAGAAAGGTATGCATACACAAAGATACGTCACGTTTGTGAAGTTGGATACATTTACATTTACATTCACTGCGTGAGGTCTTTTATGATTTTATATCGTATTTTCATTTAGATTGCATGCCTTTGCACCACCTTCTTTTACTTCTAGTTTCTACCCTGCTTTATTTTAGTTCTTAATTAAAAAAGTATAATACTGAAGGCCCTTTAGCAAAAATATTTAGCCGCAATTATTTTCTATCCTCCACATGATTATCCATTGTCTTAACCGATCGGAACCCCATGCTATTGTGTGGATCACTTTACATGAATTAATTGACTCTAAAAGAATAAATGATAGTATAACCTTCATAGCAAACTTAAGTTTGTTCAAGTTTCTTTCATGAGTCTCAACGACATGGACGGCTCATCAAGATTCCTCCTAAAAGGTAGTATTCTTATTTTAATTTATTTGCAGTATAAGAGGTATTCTTAAATTCTCGGTTCCATTCAGTAAAAAGTAGCAATATATATCTCATATTCTCAATGCATGTTCAAACTCAATTTTAACAAGATTATTTTTGGTCGACTAATTTAACAAGATTTTAAGTTATTAATCTAACAAAAAAATATGTTATAGTGACAAGTATTTTTCTGTCCAAATCTTAGCAAAAAAAAGAAGTATTTTTCTGTATACAACAAATCTATCTACTACAATAACAAACACCCTTCATAGGCAGTTTATTGTTAATTAGGTAACAAATTGAAGATGTAAGGAAATTCCTAATGAAGTCCCAAAAACTTGGAAGCTGCCAATGTTATGCTATAAGACATGCAAAGGTGCATGCTCCATTTAATTAAATATTAACTTTAGGAGTAGAAGTTTAACTCCACCTTCACTATTCAATATGTCCATGGTCTATCACGCTATATAATACTGATCCACCAGGCAATAAGAAAAGAAAAAGAAAATCACTCCAATAAGAAACTCACGCTCGATCAATATGTGTTGACACAATAGCAAGTTTACAGTTAATATCTTATCCACACAAGTATATAGAGTTTGATTGTAGGAATTATATTTGAAAAATCAAAACTAACAACCTAATTAAGGCACAGGTTATCTTATGAAACTCTGAGTATTAATTTGTTTTTTAACTTCTTTTTTTAAGAACACACTATTTATGTCATAAATAATTATATGAAAATATTAATCTATAACGACCATCTAATGACGTTCACATGTGCTGCAAGCCTGCAACTATGCAAGGGTCAAAACCAAACTAAACAAATTCAAATAGGTTTTGTTAAAAGAAATCAAGTTTTGTTTTGGTTAAGTGAATTTATCCTCCACGAAAATATTCATTGTAGAAACAGAAAGAAATGAAAATTTCGCGTTTTCATTTATTTCAGTTGGCAAATGGACATGGCAAAGAGCTCACCATCAAATTATTCACAAGAATAATCCTTCACAGCACGAAACCTCTTGAGACTTCTTCATGGGGCTCATGATACTTCTTAGTATTACCCTTGAGAGTCATGCCACAAGCTTCTTATCAGCTGAATCCTAATCATGTACTGCGTGTAACCTAAAACGAGGGAATAGATTCTATCAATACAATACGAGTTGACATTTCTAGTGAAATGATTTCAGCCTTCTAATCACCCTTGTTAACTGAAAGAAAGAATCATATACGGTTAATGGATTTTTTTTTTATAAATTTCTGGAGCTAAGAAATAAAACCAAAATTAGGCAATGCTTGAGGTCATAAACTCTTTACCAGCTCCACTCCATATATTGCTTCAGAGAAGTCTGTGCCTTGCTTTCTCATCAAAAACGGCTGAGATTGTTGCCTCCTTCCAATAGCTTCTGGGAAATAGCTTTAAGAGATCAACCACTTTCTCCATCTTCTCCACTTGTTTACTTCACCAGTTCCACCAAAACATCAACAAATAGGTGAACCAAATAATTCAGTACTATAAACTAGGCATGTTCATGTGTATAACAAGCACCAGTGGTCTAGTGGTAGAATAGTACCCTGCCACGGTACAGACCCGGGTTCGATTCCCGGCTGGTGCATTTCCTTTTTGTTTTTGCTAGTGTTAGTATATTATTGGTTTTGCCTGCACTTTTAACACTAGCCATTCAACTCAAAGCCTATATACTAAAACAAACACATTTACTCTATGGTTGATGACTTGATGTAGCCCATTATGCCTGTAACGGGCCTCGATTGAGCCCACTGCTAAATTCATATATAGCAAATGGAAGTAGAATAAGAGGAGGTTGATAACCATTACATACTCAATTGTTACTCCATAGCCATAGGAAATGACTCAACAGAAAATGGTTATGCGCAAATTACATACTTCTTCTATGGAAGATTACATAAACCCCCACTAATCTTACAATAGTTTAAGATTCACATAAATCGATTTTATTTCGTATTATTAAAAATAATTTTATTTCTTATTATCTTCTCCAGGTGAACACCCCTTAAAACCCACTAATAAAAGCGCACACGGCTGAATGCCCCACCAGTATGACCACTATTCCAAATGATAACTGAACCCCACTTCACTAGTAATAATAATTTTATTTCTACAAATCAAAAACAATTCTGTCTTAATAATAGTTTAATGTACATTTAATTAATGCATATTTGCCTTATTTGCCTTAAGAACACATTTAAATCAGCCACTTGCTCGAAATAAGTATTAATTTTTTTTTCTTGCCACGAGAATATATGCTTGTTTTTTTTGGTTTTATATGCATGTTTCAATTTTTAATTTTAGATCTGCTACTACTGCTTGTAGATTGCAAGAATATTTGTTCTTGCAAATTAGTAACAACTGTATTTACTTTCTTACTGCTTCTTCTGGTCCTCTGGATATTAGCTGTTGACTTTCATAATATTTATGAACATTCACTTTCAGGCTTGTGGAAAATCTAAAATTACCACATAAGCACCTTTTTGGGGGCAATAGCACTTATTTTTCCCATTATTAAAATGATAAAAATCATTAATATGGTAGATTGAAGAATTAATATTTGGATGATTGTTTAAAAAAGTGTAAAAGAAATTAAATGAATCCATATTTTCAAAACCCCACGATTCTCAACCAATAGAGTCACTCTCATCTCCTTGTGAATGTGAACACAAAAAGACAACAAGACAAAGTTGAGAGTTTTCTTTTTCATCTCTTCTTTGTTTGTTTTCGAACCGAATCCCCATTACAGAACCGCTCTTTATCTCTTCTCTTGTCTGAAAAAAATCAAAACTTTTTCTTCTCAGAAAGATTTAAAATTTTCAAACAAAAAAGCCATTCATAAGCTTTTTCATCGCTTCCTTGACACTTGTCTTTCGCATCATTCTTCATAATTTTGTAAAGAAAAGGAGCCACTTTTCTTCTTCCAGCTATTAACAATCCTCAACATGCTTCTCCTTCCATCTTCTACTTCTTGAACTCTCAAAACCCACCAGAGATGTCTAAGAACACACAACCTGAAGAAAACGGAGAAGAGAAGCCAATCTCCGAAGCTTTAAAGAGATTCAAGAAATCAAGACTCGTCTTTGAGCCCTCTCTAGGAGTGTTGGGTTTCTTCTTAGTTGTTTTGTGTTGTGTATGGAGCTTTTTCTACTTTGATTACAGAAACATAGCTAAAAGCTATAACCTTTCTGATACGTCAGAGAGATTCGTTTGGCTCAAACTTGACCACAACAACAAAAGTGATGTTATTAGTTCCAACAGAGTTGTTGGGTTTCTGGAAGAGAGTGGAGATGGGTGTGATGTGTTTGATGGAGATTGGGTTTGGGACGAGTCTTATCCTCTGTATCAGTCCAAAGATTGTAGCTTTCTCGATGAAGGGTTTAGGTGTAGTGAGTTTGGAAGGTCTGATTTGTTCTATACTCATTGGAGATGGCAACCTAGACACTGTGATTTGCCCAGGTAAAGACAAAGTTTAATGTTCTCTCTGTTCTTACACAGTTTCTGCCACTTGGTTGCCAGAGAAAAGTTAGATTTTGAACAGTTTGGTGGAAACCAAAAGGGTTATTGAATCTTAGATTACAGTAACTACAAATGAAATCATGTTTGTTCTCTATAGACTTTGGTTACAGTAACTTGAGTCATAGCTTGTTTATGTTGCTTTCAGCTTTGGTGTCACTTTCAATGTCCTCTTCTCTAGTTGTATCCGCAAGTTACGGTTTAAGATAAGCACAACCCTCTCTTATCTCGTGAACCAGTCGTCTTCTTTAGCAATTAAAGCAAATGCTTTTTGTTCTCTTCATCTCTTGAGTTGATCTTTTTATAATGGTCCCTTCTTCACATTTACATCAAACACCTATTTTTGCAAAGACTTTTGTTATTATATGAACCCGTGAGTTTTTTGAAATGATTAGGTACAAGATAAAATGTATATGCAACATTATTGTCAAAACTCTGGTGAATATAGTTTTTTGTCTTTGTGGATAATATACTTCAATAAATCGTTAGAAAAATCATTTTGTTTAACACTGCTTAAAGTTAAAGCTGACTCTCTCTTTTATATAATAAAATGAAATAGATTTGATGCTAAAGTGATGCTAGAGAAACTCCGGGACAAGAGGCTAGTGTTTGTTGGAGACTCAATAGGAAGAAACCAATGGGAGTCTCTTCTTTGTTTACTATCTTCTGCAGTTAAGAATGAGAGCTCGGTTTATGAAGTTAATGGAAGTCCCATCACAAAGCACACAGGGTACTTAGTGTTCAGATTTAAGGACTATAATTGCACAGTGGAGTACTACAGATCACCATTCCTGGTTCCTCAAAGCAGACCACCAAATGGATCAGCCAAGAAGGTTAAGACAACTTTGAAACTGGACACTATGGACTGGACTTCTAGCAAATGGAGAGATGCAGACGTTTTAGTGCTCAATACAGGACATTGGTGGAACTATGGGAAGACTATTAGAATGTAAGTTTGTTGAAATGTCTCTCATCTTTGATTATGTATCTGATGATTCTGATCTTGAAAATTTGTTATGACTAACAGGGGATGCTATTTTCAAGAAGGTGAAGAAGTGAAGCTTAAGATGAGTGTAGATGATGCGTATAAGCGAGCTATGGAGACCGTTATGAAATGGATACAAACCGAGGTTGATTCAGATAAAACTCAAGTCTTCTTCCGCACATACGCTCCTGTGCATTTCAGGGGAGGAGATTGGAGAACGGGAGGAACATGTCACATGGAGACATTACCTGAGATTAGAACCTCATTGGTTTCATCAGAGACATGGCAACAATTAAAGATCCTGGAAGATGCGTTATCACATTACTCCAACAGATCAGAGACTGTTAAAGTGAAAGTGTTGAACATTACATCAATGTCTGCTCAAAGGAAAGATGGTCACCCGTCTCTTTACTATCTTGGCTCGCGTGGTCCTGCACCGCTTCATCGCCAAGACTGTAGTCACTGGTGCCTTCCTGGTGTTCCTGATACGTGGAACGAACTCATGTATGCGTTGTTTATGAAACAAGAAGCTTCTTTATCTTCTGGAGGAGCCAAAGAAGTAAATATTACAGGAAATGTGACAATGTCGTGACCGTGGACAGAACAACAAGCTCATGTTTCTTATGGTGTTGGCGTTTTCTTGAAGATGCTGAGGTCAAATATCAAAAGGGTTTTAAGATTTTTTTGGTTAGATTCATTGGGTGGGGATATGTAATTAGGTTGATAATCTTAATCACTGGTTGTAAAGATGAAAAAAGCTCAAATGATATTTAAAGTATCATATAGGTTGAAAGTTACCTCATACCCCAAGTCTAGTTACCTTATGAAACAAGGTTCAAATTGAAGAATTGGTCTGAAAAACATTGAAGATGTTAACAGACTACAAGAAGAACAAGTAAGGATACTGTCTGGATCATGTTGATCTGTGTCTGATAAATCAGAGTGCATGTATGCATGTCTGGGAACTTCCTTTATTTGTTAGAAAAGGTATTTCTTTATATATCATTTACGTGTAGACATAAAGAGTGACGTACCAATTATATCATTCAGGGTCATGCCAACTAAACATGCATACCACTTTAACCGCACGATCTTATACCGGCTCAACATCTTTAACTTACTCAATGACAACTCAAAACAGTGCATGTATCATTATTATTATTCCATGTAATGCACCAACGTCTTTTTATTTGATATGTTTTATGGTCGTTTTCAGCATAATCTAATTTTCAAAGAGTGTCATTTGACACTTTTTCTTAATACAAAAAAGTATCATTGTAGAATTTCAATATAGTTTTTAGTTTAATTTTAACATTAATTGTAAATGTATTGATTTTATAAATAATTTTATTTAATCCAAACTGTATTGTTGAAAAATATGTATATTAAGAATATAAATATTTTTCAGAAATTGACTTTATTTGTGTGAAAATATCAAAATGACATTCTTCGTAAAACCGACGGATTATGACAATACTTATTACAAAAGAGGCCCTTTGAATGAATCAAGTCATGATATGATCCACAAAGGACAAGTCGGTGATTGTGACATGACATGAGCCTTAGCAAGA